GAAGAACAGACAAGAGGAATATAGAAGTATATTCTATCTCTGAAGAGAGAGTAGGTACTTCACCATTGTCTGTATATTTTATACATTTTTCTGCCCCCTTTTTTAACCCATTCTGCTAGTCTCCATCTTCTTCCTTTTTTACAATGCTCTATTCAATGTGGAGAGCTGTGAAGGACCAAAGAACAGAAAACTTTCTGACGCCACTAGCCATCCAATCTCCAAGTAGCACTACCCATTGTCTGCCTGCTGATTGTATAGACTTGTATAGATTGTACAGATCTTGTCTACACATGAGTTAGGTTTCTGTATTTCTTTTCAGAAGCTGTGCTGAGAATTTCCTAAACTATTACCAAAAGTAAAAAAAAAAATAAAATGGAAATAGTATCTCCTGCATTGGCAAAAATCTCAGTGTTTTCATTTTCTCCCTTTCTCCTACTTCGTTCTTTGTAATTGCTGCAGTTGATGCTACAACCATTGAAGGATTACTGTATGTTTATGTGCTGTTCTTATAAACATGAAATTTCTAAGAACATGAAGCAGTAAGACTGACACCCTTGGTTCGTTTGTTCAGACTTGGTTATTGAGGCATAAATAGTGTGCTGTATAACACCATGAAATGACCTAGGAATGCCTATAATACACAGGTACAGTGAGACCTAGAAAAACAGAGTACTCAGTGTTAAAACAGAGAACCAGCACTACCTGATTTCCTTGCCCTGGTCTTACAGAGCTTTGGCAAATATCATAGGATTTTCCCTTTCTGCAGGATGGAGTTCCATATGTGACTACCTCAGGGGAATATGCAAAGCTGGAATATTAACATTAAAAACCCACAAGCTTTCATCTTCATTTTTCCCTCCTTCCTCCCCGCCCCTCAAAAGAGCTTTCACCTAACTGTGCATTAATTTTAAGCTGTCATGGGTAAAATTCATTGCTGCATTTTATCTGGTTTTGTTTTAGGAGTATGAAAACAATATGAAAGTGCATAAAAAAATGACACATTAAATGATCCCCTGAGTCACTGTGGTCCATCACCTCATATTTAGTTACATTTAAAAAAAAAGAAGCATACACTTGAAATGATAGAGCACAATGGCTGTTTTGGTGCTGCTGTAGACATTCACATAAAGACTTAAAGAAACATATGAATTATTAACCTGACAGGCCATGACTATAACCTAAAATAGCCATTATGGTCTCTACTGTGGGTTCTTCTCATTTCATGGACCCCTGACACAATGGATGGAAACAAGACAGAGGTTTATAATAGAAATGCTGACACAACCTTACCTATAGCTGTGCAAATGGTGTCTCTATAATTAAACTTTACAACTTCAGCACCACTAGATAAGTTGCTAGCTTTTAATCATATTAATCAGAGCTTGGATGTTTCAATTGCCATATATTATCACGCAGTGTGCACTATAAAAATAAAAAGGTTCCCAGCCGCTAAAGATCACAGCTGTTATGAAACACAGAAGTATATCCAAATGCTTCTCTGTAAGTGCAAATACACTGAAGGAAAACCACAGTCAGTTATCCTTTTTTTTGTTTGTTTGTTTTCTAATATATGGGTTCAACATAATAGCCACAGAAAGTACTCTGAATACATTACAAGAACAGCACCGAATAGTAAAAAAGCTTCATTAAGATCTGCCCTGTTTCAGATTTTCCTATCAGCAGTAAAACAAGTCTACTGTCTTCAGTGATAATGACAGTCAGAAGCCTGCTCTTTCAGAGGGAGGCACTGAGATTATTCTTCATGCACTGCTGTTTAAAAGCCAGCTCTCCAGCGACAGCGAGGAGTGGGTGGCAAAACTCTCACTGCTTTCAGTGGTCTGAGATTTGGAGCCTGGGAATGTTTTATGTAAATATTTCTCTTCACATTTTCTCTTCATTTGTCCGAGTGATTTACAGCTTTACTTCGGCAATGAAAGTTTCCTCTCAAAGAAGCTACATCTGGTGCAAACTGAACAGATATTGGATAGGAGCTGAAACCCTCTATTTTTACCAAGCGGGTATTGCTAACAACAGCAATACAATTAATCTATAAATAAAACGTGGTTACTTACTACTCTCTATTATCCTGAATTTGCAAATCTTTGTATGCTGCATGGCACTTTACATGTACCATGTGATACATTCCCACACTGTCAATGCCTACTCTTTTACACCACCAGTTTTATAACACCTTCTGTAGACAAATGAGCTTTCCTTTAAGATGGGTGGTACAGTTATGTAGCCTGTGTGTCACAAGGGGTCTTTTAAGGAATCAATAGAAAGAGCATGCCTGTAATTATGTGTGGCAGAACAGAGTATGCCATGGACATGTCTAAAAATCATAAGAGCTGCAGCAATGCATAGGAGTTGCCATAGTGTTATTCTGACCCCTGAAGGATGGAAACAGAGTTAACTTCACATTCTTTTTTTTCCAATTTACTCAGTATACTCTATGAATGTCAAACTCTAAACTACATTAGCAGGATTTATTAGTGCTTACCCAGACTTATCCTCCAGAAATATGAAAATAGTCATGAACTAATGGTGAACCAACTTTAAAATACTGATGTTTCCAGGGAAGCAGAGAAAATTATTTTTCAGGCTAGTTGTAGGGTGAAATTACCATGAGTTTGAAAGTGCATTAAATCTAGTAGGTATGTGAAGATCATGTTTATCAAGAGATGTAAAACTCACTCTGCTCTCACCTCTTCTTAACCGAGAAATATTTTAGTGGCATTTTGTTAGAATGGAGTCAGAGTGAAGTGGGGAAGGACATAGGTCAGTGATGATAAGATCACTCATTTCAGTTGAGTTAAGATTTCATCAGGCTTACATTTTTCAGAAAATGCATCTGTTAGAGGTATGGGGCCTCAGCAGTGCCTTTGTGAGCTTATCTGTCTTCAAGGAGTGCTCTTCCTCCTCCTCCCCCTGAACAGATAGGAAAAGTGATTCAGGATTCTAAAATGGGTATTAAGGCATATCTTGATACTACTATCTTTGTGGACAATTTGCTAAAAAAGTCCATCAGAGTTAAACAGATGGGGCTCCTGTTACACCTTTGCTCTTCACCTCCTTATTTCTGAGACGCTTGAGATGTGCTAATGGACCACCTTTTAGTTTCCTGTAAATCTAACAGGTATATTAGACTGTTGTATCTGACAATACTTTTTTCTAAAGTCAGTCACGCTGTATCCTAACACGCTGAAGCAGCACCCTGCCAAAGCTGTGAGGCAGTCACTGCACACCCGGAGAGAGAGACAACGCTGTCTATGCCGGGCGCTCACACTCAGGGCAAAGTGGCACCAGCGCTGCCTGCCTTGAGCATTGGAAGAGGGGTCAGCAGAATGACGTGCTTGGAGGTAGGCGACGGCGAGGGGGGAGGAGGAGAATCAATTTTAATTTCGGCTTTGTTCCTCCTTCGCTTAGCTGTTGCCATGCACCGAAGTTCCAGGTTGCGGTGTGACCTTGCCGAGGAGCGCGCAGCCCGGGCTGCTCAATGGGACCATTGTGCAGCCTTGCAGGGGCTCTTCGGGAGCCCTCTCCCCGGGTGTGGCTGAACCAGCGCCTCGGCAGCCTCCTCCTCCTCCTCCGTGAACTCCCTGTCCCGGGGAAACTCCGCCAGCAGCACGCTGATGCAAAAGGCAGCCTGCAAGAGGCAAACCCCTTGTCAGGAGCTGAGAAAGGATCTCCCCTCCTCTGCCCAGGACTCCATCCCCCGCTGCCGGGAACGCCACAAAGTTAACCCAAGTGATCGATACGCTATAGGAGCATATTATTCCACTATCGGCGACTGATGCCACTGATGTAATCAAGTTACATAATCGCCGTCTTTGCACAAACACATCCATCTTCCTACAGACAGATCTGCATATCTTCTTCCATCCATTATGCATGAACCCACCAGCAGTACATAAGGGTACATATTTTCACACACACCATGTAACTTTAGCATTGCAGTGCATTGCACTGCACAACGTCATCACTATCGATTCCTTAACCTTCCCCCATTCCTTCTTATCAGAACTGATTTAGCGGAGAAAGATTACCTATGTGCATTGCTCGGATTCCTTTAAATCTTTAAAGGCTGAAGTGGTTCCCTTGCTCACTTCTGTTCCTAAGAAGGTGATCTTTTCTTTCCTTTTTTTCCCTGTCTCGCTTCACACCACAAGTAACAGGAATGAATTCCCACACAGTCCCTCAGCCAGATGCATGTATGTACGAAATATCGAAGAGAGCATCTCTGTTTGCACATCTTCCAACTCCCATACACGTGGTCTGAGCTTTCAGTAGGTAAGTTATTGGGTGAAAAAAATATTTTGTAAGAGCAGCTGGATGAGAGATTTTCAGGCTAGTGACATTTACGGTATTTCTCTACTATCAGGCTGAGGGGTTTTTTGTCCTTACTGTCCCTCAGTTAATAATTTCCTTGAAGGAACAGTTGCAATCCCAAATTACCAGTGGCATTTAACCCGTTTAGCACCAGTGCACTGTACTACGATCAATAAGGATCACCACCTTAAAGTTTAACAACTTGAAGAGCAGGATTTCTCTACCTCCATTGCAGCTATGAAATGCAGCAGAACGCTGCACAGAGTTGGAAACATTTATTTAACCAGCGGATGGGCTCCGAGCTCATATTAATTAGATTCCATCACGGAGAGCTTCTTCATTAGCACATACCCTTTTCAGTCAAATACATTACAACAGGGAAGATTAAAAAAAATAAATAATAGGGAAAATTAAAGACTCCTTGCTTTTACAGTACTCCCTCAAACCCAGAGGGTGCATGAAGAAGGGAGGAGATTTTTAATCATTTTTTTTATTTATTTATCGCAAAAAGCACTCACCAGAAGAACTACTGCAGTTATTCCACTTAACTACCAATAGCGACTGGAGCCCCCTCGCATCAGGGTAATGCAGCAATCCCGAAAGTGCCCATTTCAGTCACCCGCCACCAAGTTTAGCAATGCCGGGCTTTTGCCTGGATAAAATGACCTTACCCACAGGAGTCTCCCGAAATATCCCTCCGGTGCGATCAGTCAGCGAGGCGAGTGCCGGTCACCACACTGCGCACTCGG